TCTGCTTTAGACACTGTTCTTGATTCAGTCGATGTTTAAATAGGAAAAAGCTGCTGTCACGGATGTGATGTGGCTATTAAAATTTACTGATTCTTTTTTGTTTGTTTTTTTCAGCTGCTGGAATTCAGACGGGGTGTGCTCGAAGCTGACGAGGTGGATCTCTGGAAGTCTGCCACTGTAGAGCTAATGTCAGATGAAGAGGAAGGCGTTGTGGACGGTGTGTCTGGGTGGATTGTGAGGTCGCCGTCTTTTAGAAAGCCGGAGCTCTCTGAACTCTGTGTGAAGCTGCAATCCCGGTTAGAGGCGGCGCGGAAGTTCAGAGCCACGCACATTAGACGTCTGTGCTACGGACCTCCCTCGGAAAGAAGGCAGCCAACAGACAACAACCCAGGGGAGGCTTTGCTGTTCACGGACTTGTGATTTATTTTTTTTAAATTAATGTGTGGGCAGATAGCCGTGTGTGTGTGTGTATAATAAACCTTTTTTAATAAAACTTTCTTTGCATTTTCATATTCCTGGTAGATGTTCATTTCCTCTATAAATGTCGTTGATGGCCTAATAATAGTGTAGAAGCCTACATAAATATAAAGATGAACATATATACATATATAAAGATAAAATATATGCAGCATCATATGAATAAATATATATTTATATTAATATTATTACATTAAATTATGAGGCAGGGTGACCAATAATGACAGATCTGCCAGCCAATCACGACCCAGATAGCAACAGACTCCGGGGCGGATCCGCATTCGGTCCGCCACATCCGCCCCAGAATAGTGATGGGAAAACCGGTTCTTTCCTCTGATTCGATTCTTTAACTCTCGAACAGTAAATTGAACGAGTCCCGAACGAATCATTTCGTTCATTTGTACAGCAGATGGCGCTGTAGTGGCCCACAATGCAGGACTCATGCCGACGACGTGTTTTCTCCAACTATAAATACTGAAGACAAGATGGTTTGCTTACGGTGACAAAGTATAACACACAAAATGCCATAAGCTATTCAAGCCATTTGAAAACCCAGGAAAGCTAAACACACACCACAATAATGTAACTTGTGTCCTGTATCCTCTCTGTTATCATTGTTTAACAGCACGGCAGTCTGGGTAACTGTCACGTGACAGTGAAAACAGACCAATCAGAGAGAAGCAATGTTGCTGGCGCACAGTGTCAGCCTGAGCCAGAGCTGTGAACCGATGAACGATGAACGAGAAAGACCCGGTCAGCCCGCGAGTCATGTGACAAAGGAACCAGTTGGACGAACGAGAACGAAGTACTGAGCTGTGAACGATGAACGAGAAAGACCCGGTCAGCCCGCGAGTCATGTGACAAATGAACGATTTGAACGAGAACAAGTACTGCTCTGCTCCACAGCCTAAGCAGACAGAGACCCTTTCGGCCGAGCAGTCGATCACATGACAGCTGGGGAGAGGACAGCGAATGTAAAACTAATTTTGACAATTAATGATACAATTAAAACAAAAAATAATAGTTGATGAGTTGCCTATGTTTACATGGTGCATTTATAGAGGGATCCTACGGTCACGTGACTAGCAGCCACGGCAGCCATACTGGAGGACAACCTCGGCGAGTAACAGCCCTGCTAGCTATCTATAACTGGACGTTCAAAACTAGAACTCTCTCGAACTACATGAAAACTGCACAGAGAATTTGAAACTTCTGCAGTTAGTGACCCAAATATATACTCAACCTAAATTCATGAATCAGATCCTCTGAAAATGCATCCTAAAATGTATTCGTTACATCCAGGTTTACCGCGGTCGCATATTGTCGCATTAAAACAGTGTTTTTTCATGAAAACGTGAACAGAAAATTCTGAAAACCTCTGTGCACGTGTATTAAGAATGTATATGTATAATGTATTCTCCGATTAACATTTAATGTGTTTATTGTTACACCATTGATCTATGTGTGGCTACACTGCAGTGGAAATAATGAGATTACATTCAAATCAATGGAGCTTTCTGCGTCTACTGTGAGGAGCCGTATATTTTATTAATAAATACTAGTACGGGGCACCCTCGAGCACGGCTCAGTCGTTCACATGTCTGCTGGCCTTCGGTAAGTCAGATACCCTGTGAACCGGGTGAGGTCCTGTGTGAGACCAAATATATAACAGCTATGCTACAAGCTAAGCTACAGTCTATGGAGCAACCCCACGTTGCAGTCAGACAGATATGTTTTATCCTTAAACTTCTGTTTGTTTCGGAATAACACTAAATCCGCCATCAAATTGATTTCACTTAGCAGAAATGAAATGATCCATATTCGGGCGCTCTGGAGGCTGTTAGTTTTTTGTTGTTGCGTATGGTTGTGCCATTTCTCTCTCGTTTCTTTGAGATGTCTTCTGTTTTTGAGCCGTGTGAAGTAAGGACGGCTGGCAGTCGGTAACACAACTTATTTTCCCTGTCTCTCCTTTTGCTGCAGCCAAAAACGGCAAAAATGTTGAACATGTTTATGCGGTCCCGGGTGCACGCCACTATCATACAGCGTTTGTTTGTCCTCCAGTATGGCGGATGCCCCGCGAGTTCGAGGCATCGTGACGTCACGTGAGATATCTCTATTGTGTCCAAAAAGTGACATTATTATTATTACTATTATTGTTATTTTTATTGTGTTTGTTGTTATCATTGTTATGTTTTATTATTTTGTGGCAGAGTATAACACAATAAATATGCTGATATAATTTTCTAAAGTATTTATTTACAAACACATTCATTATATAGGCTATACAATAACACAACAAGGACTGAAGACCACTATAATTATGATTTCGTGAATAAATAATCTATATCGGGTGTCACATGACAAATAAACTGTAGATATCAGACATCAATCATTTCCTTGTTCAGCTCTCAGTCAACAGTCCCCCAGCCCCGTAGCTGTCTGAGCCAGCCACAGCTGTCACGTGACGAATGAACGAAAGAGCAATCCGTCAGGATCCGTATGAACGAATCGTGAAGGAACTGCAGTGCTTGCTGCTCACAGACAGCCTGTCTGTTACGTGACTAAAGAACTGGGACCTGAAAATGGATCCAGCTGAGTGAGTGGTGAACGAATCATTTCTGTTTCCTGTCTGCTGCTGACTGAGCTCATGCAGCTGCCGCCATGTGGCGAGAGAAGGTACTGCATGAAAATGAACGAATCGCTCCCTGAGAAGACTCGTTACTCCCGAGTCATATAAAAGATTAGTTCATTTTGAACGAATCGTTCACGAACGATACAACACTACCCCAGAATCAAATCCGCAGAGCGGACCCGCGGCGGATTCAAACCAGATCCACAGAGCGGACGCTCTCTAACCTCCGCAGAGATACGCGTGTGATCCGCGCTGCGGACGCGCCGCGCATCAACTGCATCTCGCACGCGCACAAACTGACACTCGGGGCTAACTGCATTCTCCGAAAGTCCGCTGTGAGTACATCGTCAAAGATCATTTATATTATCCCCAGTTGTGTTATAAAGTTAACTGGGGTTATAGTGTGTCTGTGTGAATGTTTTGTGCCTGCTTTTAGAGCGCAGTAAAGTTTACCAGTAAGTTTGCGTTAAATTAGAGAGTCACATATGTGTATAACCGTTAAGATAGTTTGACAGATGCTGGAGGAATACAGTCTATGAGGAATACCTTTGTAGTTAGTTTCTAGTATTTATCCGAATGTTTTTAGTTGTTGTACTTTCTTTTACGTGAAAGAGATGATTAGTATTAACTAGTATTCCATAATTTACCACCTGGATACTGTAAGCTACTTTTAAGTGTGTATGTGCGCATGTTTGTCCGATCACAGCAGATACTACATGTAACAAATATATTTGGCACTTTTCACTGACCAGGGTTACACAAAATGTACAATTTGCTGTTCTTTTGTATTAGCAGAGGTGACAGGACGTCCGTACAGTAAACTAGAGAACTTGTGAGACCCTATCCATAAACTGTAAGTAACTTCAATGTTGTTTGTATTAGCTTTGTCCAGCAGGGGTCAGTCATGTCACTAGGTGTTCATATCATCTAAGAGGTGTGCTCATTAACTGACTAACTTGAAAACTGGGTTCTGTGATTGCTATGCCATTGTGAATGTTTACTAGTGCAGTGTATTTGTGTGCCAGTGATTTATCAGGTGGGAATATCATTAAGAGCATTAACTGGCCAGCATTGTGTGCTGTTAGCTCCATTACAGTGTGAGAAAAGAGGAGTCACCTCTATACTCTGTCTTGTTGTTATGATGCAGGTTTCTACATATTTGGACAATTCTTTTTCTAAAATATTCTTGTTCGGGAAGTTCTTTTATAACTGGTCCCCAATGATCCCTTTTTCAAACTTGACAGGGCACGATGGAAGGGACAATATTAGTGGCACCTGTGAGACTAAAATGCAATTCCTTTTTCCCTTATTAACCATTAACCATACTAATGTATTTCAAGATCGCGCATTGACATGTAGAATCCTCCAGATCTCATGTACATTTATAGGTCAAATTCTAAGACTGACAACAGTTCAAAAATTCTCAGCAAGAAAATCCTGAATGCTGGTTAGAGCTGAGAAATGAAAACTGAGCAAAGGAAGCTAACCTTTCACTAAAATCAATATATATTAAATTAGATATATTAAATGTCTAATATATATTTTAATTAATATATTCAATGTCAGTTTAGAAAATAATACTCTTTGGTTTTATTAAAGTGCTATAAAGTTACAGTATTGCAACTATGGTGTCATATTGAAAACAATAAAATTATATTGTGACACTATATTTTGAAAATCCCTGGGAAGATATCCTCTTTATAGTTTATCGAGTAACCAATGCCCTAACTTATGCTCTAATCATTTTCAGAAGATGAATAGAAAGACAATGCCAGTTTCCAAGTCGGCGTTAAGACGGAGGGCCCTGATAAATGTAGCAAGGAGACTTCAGGATATTGCTGATCAAAACCAGGAAAGGGAACAGGCAGGCCTTTACTCTGGAGTTGGAGAAATGGCTTCAGGACAGATCAGAGACATGGACAGAGGACAAAAAAGGGATTTGGCCTCGGGAGACATGGGGGACTTGGCCCCTGGAGAGGTGCGGGACTTGGCCCCTGGAGAGGTGCGGGACTTGGCCCCAGGAGAGGTGGGGGACTTGGCCCCAGGAGAGATGGATGATGTTGTTTATGATAGTGATGATTTTTATGTTGAAGCAAATTATAGTTTTGAGTCAGAATCAGAGAATGAAAATATCCAAGATTCCCTTCTGGATAGGGTTACAAACTGGGCAATACATTTCAAAATTTCCCTGGTTGCTTTGACAGCACTATTGGCCATTCTCAGAGTGTATCATTCTGGCCTACCTAAAGATGCCCGGACCCTTTTGAAAACAAGAACAGACTATGTTGTTGTAGACAAGGCTGGTGGACAATATCACTATTTTGGTATATTAAACTCTCTTACAAACACTCTTTCCAAATGCATAAACTCTTTGGCAAACAACACTACTCTAAAATTCCACATTAACATTGACGGCCTTCCCCTTTTTAAAAGCTCTAGCATACAAATGTGGCCTATTCTGGCTCTTCTTGTTTCTGTGCCTATGAAAGAACCAGCAGTTGTGGCCCTGTTTTCTGGTCCCAAGAAACCAAACTCCCCTCATGAATATCTCTTGGATTTTGTCACAGAATTAAAATACCTGGAGAATGGCTTTGAGTTTGGAGACAAGACATTAAAACTAAAGCTGGATGCAGTGATTTGCGACACCCCTGCACGATCATTTGGAAAGAATACTAAAGGTCATAATGCCTATCATGGCTGTGACAAATGTGTTGAACCTGGAAAATATGTAAATAATCGGATGACATTTGAAAACACTGACTCTCCATTAAGAACGGATGCTTCATTTGAAGATATGGTTGATGATATACATCACCGTCAAGGGCCAAACCCATTTCTAGGCTGCCAAATTGGTATGGTTACTGGATTCCCTCTTGATTATATGCATCTGGTGTGTTTGGGAGTGATGAGGAGATTATTAAGCATTTGGTTACGAGGTTCATTGAACTTTCGAATCCCTGCCAATATTGTTGAGATAATGTCCCAAAAATTAATTGATATGCGGCCCTACATTCCAGTGGAATTCTCAAGAAAACCGCGTTCTCTTCGGGACGTAGACAGATGTAAAGCTACTGAATTCAGATTATTTCTTCTTTACACAGGTCCTGTCATGCTTTCCTCATTTTTGGACAGAGCAATGTATGATAATTTTTTGCTTTTTTTTTGTGGCATAGCTATTTTGGTGAATCCAAAATTTTCTTGTCATGCCATTTATGCCCAAACTCTGTTGAAATCTTTCGTTCAGTACTTTGGTCGCATTTATGGGAATGATCTACTTGTGTACAATATTCATTCGTTAGTACATCTTCCTAATGATGTTCAAAAACATGGCGCTCTTGATTCATTTTCTTCATTTCCTTACGAGAGCTACCTTTACAAATTGAAAAAAATGCTGCGAAAGCCCCACTGTCCAGTTGCTCAAATCATTCGGCGTTTATCAGAGATGGATGTTACTGAGGAAAAAAAAGAAAAAATAACTTTGAAAAAGGAACATCTTGCTGGACCTGTGGTAAACATTTCTAATGTGCATAAACAGTACAGAGAAATGGTTTCTGAGGAGTGGACGTTGAAAATTTCTTTGGGTGATAATGTGTTTGCAATTGGAGAAAATGTTTGTGAAATCTGTAACATTGTAAAGTGTGATGAGGGTTTGTTTGTAATGTACAGAGAATATTCCCAAAAATCATCATTTTTTACATATCCCTTTGAATCAGACTTCTTGCAGATATTTAAAGTATCTAACCTATCGCAATTGGTAAAGTGCGCACAGTAGAAGAGCTCACCCATAGTTTCTTTTGCCCCACAAGGATCATTTTGTGGCTTTCCCCTTGTGCCATACCTTATAAACATAGCGTATGAGGGGGGTGGGTGCATGGGGCGAGATGTTTTTATGTTGATATTGTCTTTGTCCCTAATAACTTCAAATCAGATGCTTTTTATCCTCGAAATCGGAAAGTGAAAACAGAGATTGACTCCTTGGTTGACAGTTGCTAGATTCAAGATTATGGAACCTGTTGTGAGCGGCTTTAAATGTTTGTGTGTGATTTGGGGGACTGGGGAAACTACCTCACTACTTAGTCAAAAAAATCCAAAGTTGTAAATAGTGTGAGTAAATAAATGCTTTATGATTTTGCATATAGATAGACGTGTAATTGTTATGTTTTCTGTTTCAGTCTTGTGATGTATCATTTAATTGAATTTGTTGAGAACAAGCTTTCTCTATTGCCCCATCGGTGTGGGTTGAAGATGGCATGTGCTTTTGGCCACCTTTTCAAAATGATGCTCGCATCGATAGGGCATGCAGGAAAAAGGAGCTTCCCGGAGACGACTGGCTTAAATTTGATATACGCATCCTGAAAACATGTGGTAAGCTTCATAAAGACACTTCTGACCTACAAGAAGATATTACGATCAACAGCGGTTTTGGACAAAATATTGGAGTGATCTGATATGGCCAATTTTATGTTTTCTTCAGCTTTTGGTGTTTTTGTTACTATGTTTATGTGATGAGATCAGAAAAAAATATTGTTTTGCAGACCAGTACCTTGAAGTCAGGCAAACTTTGCAGAGGGCACTGACCTGCTCCACATCTGACCTTCAGTCAGAGACGAGGAGCATGCTGGACCAAGAAAGAGGAAGCGTAAAACAAAGTAAGTAAACTGTGATTTTTATACAATAATTTCTAGCAATGGCAATTAATCTGTGAATTAATCGAAAATGTTCCCACTGTGGCACAAATAAAGAATCTCTTCATCTTGATTGTTTTACTGGTAACTGGTAAAACACTAATGCTGTTAAATGTATCCTCAGTCACTTTTATGGAGACAGTGGCTCAGAGAGCTCTGAGCCAGAGCCAAGAAAAGAGAAAAGAAAAGCTCCATTTTCATTCCACCACCACCACCACACAACAACACAAGCAATGGCCAAAGAACACACTCCTACTTCACCTTTGAATTTGACCTTTTTAAAAGGTGGTATAAATATTAAACAGAATAATAGTTGCAATTAAATTGTAATATTTGTGGCTTGGTTTTTATTAATCTGGTAATTGATTCATTATTTAAAAGCACATTTTGCCTCGTTTTTCAGCTACACAGATCCAAATACTGGGCCTTCTTGAAGCGATAAAGCTCCAGCAAGAGCAATTAATGCTGAAAGTCAATTATTTGCAAAGCAAAGTGTGTGCAACTCCATCACAATCCAAGTGAACTTCCCAGAGGCAGTAACATTTCCACTAAACACATTGGAGGATGTGGAAAGGATGGAGGCATGGATTAGAGGCACCAACATGGAACTGAAGCAGCAAGTGGTTGGTTACACATTTGATTCAAACAATACAATGCTTTACAGCAGTCAGTTCAAGTGCTTGGTTAAAGTGCATCAATATAAAACAAAAACGGGTAGTAGCAGCCATTAAAATTAGTTTGAATAATTCACATTGTCTTAATATTGTCAAGTTTGAAAATGAGTAAATCAGTCATGAAAATAAGAAATCATTTAAACATCATTCATCCAAAAACAAATGGAAGAAAGTATTAAGGTAGTGGTTATCAAAGCCTGGCTTGTACCGGTTTTAACAAACTCGAGGAGCCTGGGGAACTTGTATGACCCCAAGAAATCGCTGTCCTAAGAGAAAAAAACGGATTGTTTATGTTGCAGATCAAAAAGCTTTCAGCAATCGGTGGGCAAGACCACAAAAAAGTCACGTGGAATATCCTGGCCTGCATTTTCAACGACAGCTGTGCCCAGAAAATCAGCTGGAAAGGGGTTCATGGCAAAATACCATTCAAAAGTATGGCCTTGAAGACTCTCATTTTGGGTGAGTTCAAATACTGTCAAATACTGACATACTGTGTGCCTGGGGGTCCTCGCTACGTTTGAGTTCATTGCTTTTTAAATACAAACCTCAATGGAGCAAAATTGTGTCAATAAGCCATGATTTCATGGCTTGTGATCTATAATTTAATTCAGTTTAAAGACACAGTATTAATTGGAAGTAATCCTTATCATCAAAATGTTACATGTGCACATGTAAAATGTGCCTATTGTATGAAAGTATTATACTCAATAATCTCTTTGTATTGTTATTATTCTTCCAGAAGCTGTAAAAAGGAATAATCTCTGCCGCACAATCACGGACGTGGAGGTTTTTAAGCACTGCATTAGGTGGTTTAATTTGGCAGCAGACAGAGGTCTGGCAAGGACCCGACCCATACCACCGTCTCCATAAGTTTATGGTTTTGGGTATTGTTTATTGTGTTTGCATCTTTATTATTTATTTTTATTATAAAGAGACATGTTTCTGTAAGTCTATATATTGCAAAAAAATTACAAATTGAATATTACAATTATTTATACCATATTGAGTGAGATTCAGTGTGTGATTGGGCTGGTCATTTTGGTCGCCGTGTAGAGCTCCACAGATAGCCTCTACAAAATACACATGTACATAATATTGTAAATTTACATAAATATGTTTTGTAATAACTTTGTTAAGTAAAACAAATAGACTGCTGTTCAGGTGGATTACATTCAACTAAATCCTAATGGCTAAGGTCATGAAAAATCTGGAAATATGTTATATTTAATACAGAAGATCATTTTATGATCATGATTATTTAATGGTTCTTAGCAACTCATTTTAAGGTTAAAGTAGATCATAGTTCATTGGTAAGTAATTACTGTACAACATGAGTCTGAAAGAAAACAACAAATCTGATGTTTCTTTTATGTATTTTAGATTTTCTTCTCGTTGGCAGTATTGCACATAATGAAGATGGAACATGATTCATCTTCTTGGTGAGTATTCAGTGTTAATGTGTATATTAGATAACTCTGATCCTATGATTATGAGACTTGTTTGTTTTCAATACTCTCATTTTACTGCAGTGTCCTCGCTGAGTATCTGGGTCTGGTCAGTCAGGTCCAGGCTGCGACCTCAGGATGAGGGCATCAGGACAGCAGTATATTGGGGTTTAGTGTTTACAATTACTACATAAATATTACCCTGTTTTTATGAATCTTTTGATATAAATAGGACGGGGACGCTGAGCCAAGGACATTTGGAATGGCTGTGCTGTACAACTTTTGGTAAGTCTAAAAAGAAGAAAATACTAAAGTGAAATGTCCACTGATCTAATCTGTGTGTGCTCATGTCAGACTCTGATGCTGTGAAAAGGGGAAAACCTTTACTGGAACATGACAGACCAAACTAGACAAATCTTCAAGATTTATCTGAGCAGGCGCCACATGGAACCATCTACAGCTGCAGAAGGAGAGCGATAATCTACACCTACTGCTGCCTTTTGGACTTGAGGACTAGAGGCTATTCCCCAAAAAATGTATTCAAGATATGTATTTGTTTTGAATTGTTAATGACTAAAGCATTGGTCCCAAACCCAATGACCTGACAGACTTTTACGGACACACAATTCTTTGAAACTACAAACTGTTGACAAAATGTTGTGGCCATTTCAGTCCCATTATGTAGCCCAGTCTTTTTTGATAAAGTGAATACATTGATACATAACCTGTGCTATAGTGAACTAATTTGCATTGTGTAGCATGTGTGAAGGGAGGGCCATGTTGTTAGAGCTGCAGCTGCTTTTGGATCTGACAGAATCTATTGGATTATATTTTTATAAAATTGCGTCCACAATTTTTGTACTGCATATTTGATTTTAAAAAGATTAAAATGTCTAGTTTGCATCATAGATTATTAAAAAATACTTTATTTGTGTACTTACATATGGTTTAGAATATATGAAAGGAACTATGCAATATATAGTAAGTATTGTAATTGCCATTAAATAATAAATAATATTTGACTTTATATAGCAGGAGTAATGTATTGTGTCCATTATGGTTTTTGTGTAGTTACAATATGTACAAAATCTTATTTCATCCAATGCTTTCTAATTAAAAATTGCAATACCAATAGGCATGTTTACATGCAGTGAGTATATATTCACATGACATGCAGCAGAATTCAATATATACATAGTTCCCACATGACGTCACTACATACGGGGATTTGCCGACCCGGCGACATTTGTGTTGGCATGCTGTGGGCAAAACAATAGAAAAAGAAGCTGAAACGTGTTAATGTCGTGATAAAGTTGAAAATGGTCATCTCCTGCTGGGTCAATGGATGTTCAAATCGTGCCGGAGGTTCCGTTAAACTTGGATTTTACAGTATACCCATCATTAGACTTCATGAATGTGAGAAGACTAAGCTTTTGTCAGAACAACCACGGAGGTTATGGCTTGCGAAGATAAACAGGCAAGAAACTCCCTCAAAACACGCAAGAATATGCTCGGAGCACTTTGTGTCAGGTGCGTATCGTATCTTATAATGTGTTGACAGACGTAATTTACTCAGTACTAACTTGTGTATGCTGATAGCTGGTAACTTGAGAGTTTCATTATTTAGCGTTAGATTAGTTTATTATGAGGAGGATCGGTGTCGCGTCCGAGGCTCTCGAGGGCAACGTAAATGTATTAAATAGATAATAATAGTTCTATGGTGGGCTAAAACAATGTTCACAAACAGCATTGCTTCTGTAAAAAGATCTGTGTCATAAAATAAACTGCTCTTTACGCCTGGAAAAATCAGTTGCCCACCATTCACCAAAACGTACGGTCAAAAACGCGGAAATAAACAATAACAGCAATCCAGAGTGTCCGTGTGGCATTAGCATTAATTAAATTAATTGTTAATATAATTAAAATAATTAAATGGAGCTCCAACTGGTATTAAATCTAAAGTTTTTGAGAAATGTTTGCATTGCTTGTTAATTTTTGCTGCATAATTTGATCAAATATGTAAAACATGTCCGTAGCACGTTAAACTGTGGTGCCATTGTATTAATATACAATTATTTGCTCAAAAGTTGCCCTTTTTTTCCAATTTGCGTTTGAATATCTACATTTATTCTCATTCTTCTGTTTAATGGAATGCACAAACACAGCAGCGTGCCATCAAAGATGGCGTCTCCGAGGAGGTCATGTGACATTCATTGGTCTGTGGGAACTATGTATACATTATTAGATCCGCGGGACAGAACAGGTAAGCGGATATGCAGCGGGTCCTGAGCGGATCCGCCAAGTCCGCAGCGGACCAGCAGCGCCACCGCGGCAGATCCTCAGTGAAAAGGCTGTTATCCGCGGCAAGACCGCCACGGGTCCGCCGCGGTCCCGCGCGGCGGACCCGTGGCGGATGCGCCGCGGTGTGCAAGTGAACTCCAATGCGGACCCGCTGCGCGCATCCGCGGCGAATCTCAGGATACCTCCGCCGCGGGTCCGCCGCGGATACTTTTTGCTAGTAGGGGAGGGATTATACTTATTTGAAAGTAGTGACTTCATCCAATGAGTAGTTAGCTTCATTTGGCTTGGCCTGGTCACGTGTGATTTTTCAGCTAATCACGAGTGTTTTTTGTTTTGTTTGAAAGTAGTGGTATGCCAATGTGAAAAGGGTATTCACGCAGCCGGCCAGACGCTGCATTCATATGCTAATTAGGGCCATTAGCGCTCGGCGGCCGCAGTGTTTCGCTGCATTCATATGCAAAGTAGGGACATTAGCATGGTACGGATGCGACAGTTTGGAGCTCAGGGCACCCTAACAGCGGGTCTTGAAAACTGCCTGAGATACCCGAAAAAGAGGGTGATTTCCTGCCGTTTGGGGTGACGAAAATCTAACTTTTCATGCAGTGTACAGTGCCCTCAGCAAAACCACGTATTTGGAAAAACTATAGGCTAACAGATGTAGTAGCTCTAGTTTCAATCGTCCTCATTTTATTCAGTCAGACTTGTCAAATATAGATGCCCATGGGAGAGTGAGCAAGGGGAGATAACATGCCCATAACATGCCCAAAAATATCCTGCATAGACTCAAGCTGCGATCAGCTGAAATATGAGCACACAAAGAGCGAGAGGGAAAAAGAAAAGTAAATAGGCTTAGGCTAGTTAGTATTTTTTCTCTCACAAAAGTTGGCGCGGATCATATGCCATCTTTCGTGGAGGAGGAAACATCAAACATCAAAGGGCGCACGCGGGGAACAGCGGGACTAGTCTCGTTGTTGAAGTCCCGATGTTCCCCCACTTCTATTGGCGGGGGAACATCGGACCCGGGGAACATCGGGACTTTTTAATACGCGAAGTACCGATGTTCCCCGGGTCCGATGTTCCCCCGCCTATAGAAGTGGGGGAACATCGGACCCGGGGAACATCGGTACGCACCCGAAAGGCTACGTAGCGAAATACTTTTTTTTTGTCTACATCTTTTTATTTGTTTGTGGAAGTTTTTATTTGTGGAAAGTGCTCAGAGTGAGAGAATGATGGGTCATTTTCTAAATACTATCTGTAATACGCATTTCTAGCAAGATGTCTGCGTCAAACTAACACACTAGCTAGCATTAGCATTAGCATTAGTGAACTGCGGTTTGTTTACAAACAGGGCTTTTTCTAGAACCTTACGAACATTTTCCCTTTTAAATGTATGTACATTGCAATCGCAATAGTAACTAGTTACTGTATACAGTCTATGGTTGATGCAGCCGCTACTATTTGTCGGCTCGCACGTATCGTAGCAGAGTATGTGGTTCACGAGTAGTCTATACAAACTATTATTAAACATTAAAGACAGTATGGGCCAGAGAACTGTAGAGCAGTAAAATGTTTGTCCTCATGTCTCTGTGGCTGCTGTGGTCCATAGTCAGACGCAACCCTCTGAACTGGGTGAAGTGGGTAGACCCGCGCACGTACGGCCATTATGTGAGATGTCAGTGAAAACAGTATTTTACAGATATTGCTTATCCCGTGTGAATGTACTGCAAAATCTCAGACACCCTCCTCCGTTATCACAAATTATCAGGGGTCCACAGGTGATTCTAATCTCGTGCGAGTAAACAAACTTGTTTCACTTCCGGGTAATCGATTGAGGCCAAAATGTATTAAATACATAATAAAAAAGGTCAATTATTGCATTTTCTAGTTCCCAAATCCGGTTATTATAATATATATGTCTTATAAGCAATGAAAAAAATAAAATTCATTTTTGTATATTGCTCTGTGCCTGAAAATGCAAAATTGCCTTTTTCGATTTTCCATTTCCCTTCAAAAATAGAAAATGTACTGAACGCAAAAGTACACGGACCGTGGTGCTAGCGTGTTCTCTTTCGGCGAGTGGGGATGCAAATTTCAACAAGGAGTGCACGCCTTGTATTCAGAACATTGAACGAAATAACTTGAATATGCTACCTTTTATTAAATCAAATAAATCATAACTATGTTGGCCTTTTTATTAAGTAAACATTCATAATAACAAAGCTGTGGAAAGTTGCTTTCGGCAGGTGGTGATCAAGCCCCGGTGATCCAAGATGGCGCCCTATTCAAATGAATGGCTTGTGCTCAGTAGCTTCACGGAGACCGGAAGATTAGCTGAACTCGCCAATATTTGGGCATCGTCTGGCCCTCCCGGTTCTGCGCAATGGACGAGCTCCCATGATGCGTTGCCCCAAATACGCGTGTGTGGCTTTCATGTTCGTGCACAGGGGGGCTCGCCTGCGCTTTGACCAATCAGAGCTGCTGCAGAGCGGCAAGGAAAGGAGCAGAGTTTGAGGCAGTAAAGTGTGGATTTAAAGAAAACCAAAGGATTTAAGAAGAAAAAAAGTTCCGGATGACAAGGGAACAAAAATCCCCACAAAATCCAATCTTTATGAAAGCTGTAGGTTCTCTGTCGAGTCGTTTTAGTTAACATTGAGTTCTACGGTACTTTTTTCTGGGTAGCCCGCATGAATTTAGTTTTCAGTACCACGGGCGCCCCCTGTGCCCCCTGATAGGCGGAGCTGTCGAATTTCACACAGCAGTGTTTCCGCCAGGAATTTGTTTGAGGGGGGGACCGCGGGGGGGGGGGGGGGTGGGGGTTTAAGGTCCGATACCCCAGAAAAA